CCACAGCGGGCCCCCCCCCCCCCCCGCAAGCTCAAGTTTGGATCCAGCCTCGGTGCCGACTCTAACAGACCCAGAGCAAGAGACAAACCGGTGTTACTGCGCGGAGCCCCCACCTCCGCTCCCGGAGCCCTTCCTGGAGTTCCCCAGGCACCCAAAGTCCAGCACGTACATCCTTGCCTTTCCGGAAAGGCGCGCCACCGCAGCGCTCCTTCTAAACTCTAAGGCAAATCGGAGCTTGAATTCGTACAATAATAAACACCGCCCAATTTGGGCATGGGCGGGACGCAGGCGGAGACACGCGCAGCTGGTGGGCAGGGCACTGATAGTAAAGAAAAAACAACCCCAGTTCTAGTCGCGGTCTGGAGAGGCGAGCCCCACGTGCTTGCAGCAGTTAGCAACCTCTCTGAGAGGTTTCAGCCGCAGAACTCCGGCAGGGCGCCCTAACCCGGCTCCGGCGGTGGGGAAAGAATCCTGAGCTCCCAGGTGAAGTGTGTAACTTGAGCTTAGGAGGGGACGCTGCAGGAAGGAACCCCGCGCTGGGGCTTATTTCCGGGGAGCGCAGGGAACAAGCACCGAGTGTCCGAGTGTGGATGCGCCCTCGTGCGGAAGCTCTGTCGGGTGAGGACCTATCGGAGGCTCGGTGGGGGGACCAGCTGAGCCTAGGAGACAGCCGGGCAGACTGGGTGACTCAGAGAGCCAGATGAAGACGCCGAAAGTTCCCTGCAGGTTCATAGGTCTTCAAACCCCAGAAAAGCACGTTCGTCTCTGAAGTCAGTGGGAGCGCATCTTGCAGATTGCAGGAAAGCCCTGAAATCATGCTTCCGGAAGGACCGTGGCAGTTCCAGCTCTGGGTCCCAAGCACAAATTGGGTTCAGTGTGGGATGAGGGCAGAAAGTACCATTCCCAGCTCCCTGGCAGAAAGCCTGCTCCTTGGGCAGGCTAGGCACTATCCTGGACCAAAGAGGCCTCACAATAAAAGTCTTCGGAGGAGAGACAGGAGTTCCTCCCGGGCCCCGCTCCCATCTACCTTTCTTCTGCTTCACCGGTAAATAAAGAGCAGACATTCAAGTTAACGATGATCTGCGCCATATTCCCAAATATCTGCCTCACTTTTCTAAGTGCGAAGATAGTTAACGAATTGTATATATATTTGAATGAATGAATGATTCATTCAGTTGAATGAACGAATGATTCTACCATATGTTTGAGAAGAGTGAGAGTGGAAGGATGCAAGGTCACCTTAATGACAACCTAAAAATGTGGGCGAGGATGATGATAATAAGGGTAATACGAATAAGTAACTATGTCTTGAACACTACTGTGTGCTGGCACTGTTCTAAGTGCTTTCCTTGTATTGTTACTCCATCCTCACAGTAACCCTAAGAAACAGAAGCATTTATCATTCCCATTCTGCAGACCAGACAACTGAGGCCAGGAAGCTAACTCACCTCAGGACTCCTAGGAGGAAGTGTTCCAAACACAGGGAAACAATCACATTATAATAGCTACCGTGTGTGGTTCTTGAGAACCCTGGCAGCATCTATGGAAGATGGGAGGATGGATTCACCCATTTTACAGATGGTGAAACTGAGGCCGGGCACGGGACACCGGAAAACAACGGAGGTAGTAAACAGAACAGGGATTGGAACCCACACGGTTTCCTCCAGAGGGGGATTCTCTGAGGTCCGACACCCTCAGGTGAGCACAGAAGCTGAGTAATGTGTGTCTGGAGTAATCAAAGGGCAAGGGGGCCCTCTGGAGAGGAGGGATGAGTGCCCCACCCCCAGAGCTGGGAGATTTGGGGCATTGTAAGTAGGAGACCCAGAGTCCTCACATCCTGCCAAAACCCAGGACACCCTCTCCTTCCCTACCCTCTTCTTCCACTTTGAAAGGATCCGAGAGCAGTGTCTTCTGCTTCTCTCAGGGGAAGTGAGCCATAAAGGTAATGGTTGGCCAGTCGCTGATGCTGATTGAAGCCCAGGGAAAAGGGGCAGTTAGGGCCCGGGCACCACCCTGCCCAAGCATATCAGCATTTAGCCTGATATATGCAGTTAATTGAGACCAAAGAATCCTTTCTCTTCTGTTATCCAGGTAAATCCTAATAGCTAACAGCCCTTACTATGGACTGGATGTTATCGAAGCACTTTCCCCACGGGTGTTGGGTTCATTAATCCTCACGATAACCCTATTTGATGATCCTATTACTTTTTCAGTTGAGAAATGGGCTCAGAGAGCTTGAGGTAGCATGCCCCAGGTCACGGGAACCCTCAGTTGGCCTGTGTGCGGTAGGGCCTGAGTTGGTGCATGTGGATTTGGCTTAGAGAGAAAATCTCCATTGGGGAAGCCATCTGGAAAAATAACATGAGGGCAGAGAGAGCGCCCAGAGGGGCTGCTGGAAAGGTAAGGTCCAGGATCAAGGGCCACCGAGCCTCCGTGAGGTCAGAGCGGCCTCCCTGGCCTCCATGACCTCCCAGCCTGGGTGGGCGTATGGAGTGAGCACAAAGCCCTCCCCGTGCTCCCCAACTCCATTCCCTTAAAGGGACCATCAATGCCAGCAAGTCCATCAAGCTGTCAACCCACCCCCTTCCCCCGTTCCAGCCTTCACACACTCACAGCCCCAGCATAAAGTCCCCACGGACCTGACCCAGGAAAAAACGCAGCGCCAGAGAGGCACCTTCAAGAGTCAAACTCTACCCAAGCTATGTCTGTCTGCTTCTGCTGCGGAACAGAAATGTTGCAAAAGCCAGAGAGGGAAAGGTTTGCGTAAGTGGAGGCGGTGGCGTCTTCCCAGGTGCAGCAGCGGCTGCCCAGCCTTCCCAACTCCCTGAAACTTTCCACCCCCTTCCCTACATGCCTATGTCAAAAAGCAAACATTTCAAATGCCTTGGTGAGCTGAGGCCAGGCAAGAAAGAGGCAGGCAGGCAGGCAATGCTGCTCAAAGTTTGCGAAAGCATTTCAAGTATGTGGTGCCAGCAGGCACTCGGGGGTGTCTCTGACCAGGGGGTCCCGCTGACCTGGAGTCTGTCCCCCCCTCCCCAGCCACCCCTGGCCTGGCTGCACCCAAAGACGTCTCTACTCTCTACTTATCCACTCCCACCACGCCCTGACCGACCGGCACGAGAGCACGTGGTCCCGAGGACGCAGGCACACATCCCCTGAGACGCCCGGCACGGGCTCCCAGACCCCAGTGCATTCTGCTTATTCGTCACGGGAGTCTCTTCTCGGTGTCAGTCTCTCCACTCAACCCCAGGCTTATGGTTATCAATAAATTTCCATTGGCCAACCTGGCCCAACACCCCCGTCCAGATTTCTGGATTTGGGCTGGGGCTGAGGATGGAGGAGGCAAGTACTCGGCCACCCGGGGACCTGGGAGCTCTGCTCTGTGCTTTGAGTGAAGCTCACAAGCCTCTCCCAGGCCCAGAGGTGATCCCACCCCACCCCCCACCCCAGGCAGTCTTGGGGTAAAGGGCAGGAGATGGACCTGGGAAGATTTATGAGCCAAACGCTCATCTCCCACTAACTTCTGATATTCACTTCTTGCGAGCAGAGAAGCGGAGTGGGGATAAGCGAGGGCCCATCGCAGGAGACGGGGATGCAGGAAAAAATATGCCCGCTGCTCCGAAATGCCCTTGCACTCACCTGCTCATTTTAGATGAGAAGGCCAAGGCGAGGGAGGGAAGGAGTTTGTTCACACAGCGAGATGTGCTCCTCTAACCCCTAGCCCACTGCTCCAGCAACTCGAGGATGCGTGTCGCTACCGATTTTGGCGTCCTCGGGGACAAGCCACTTGAACCAGAGCAGTGAGGGCCGCCGGGCCACGGACCCAAGACTGGCCGTGGGAGAAGCCCAACTTTCAGCCTCTCTCCCTGAAAGCAGTGAGCCTGGGTGTCTCTCTGAGTCTTACAAGAAGCATGGCTACTCCAGTTGCGGCCTCTCCAGGGCTAAGAACAACGAGCAGGATGCTCAAAGGCCACTGGGTCTCTCTGGCGGCCTTTATCTGTCAAAACTGGACCCTGGTTAGAGATACAATCCACCCAGCCAAGGCCAGTCGGGGACGCAGGGTTATCTCTGTGGGAAACGGTCTCTGTTGTGGTGTTCGGGTCACTTCCATTTTATTTGCTGTATCTTTGAGACCTGCCCGGCTGTATCTTACTGGGTCAGGAAGAAACGTGGTTATCAGACGCAGCTTCACGCAAACTGCGTTCGGTGGACCACAGAGCCGCCTTAGCAAGGAGTCCCGGCAGACCTGCAATCCGGCCCTTCCAGCCCCGACCTCCTTTCCCCTTTTCCTGAAAGGCCCTGGGCCTCCCGAGGAGAGCGGCGGAGGAAGGGACGGCGAGCGGATGGAGACGTGGAGCCGGGACGCCCCGCGCAGGCTCTGCGCGACGGGGGCAGACGCGTAGGGTGGCGCGAAGACCAGCAGCCGGCGGCGCCTGGGCTCCGCGCTCCGTCCCGGCGTCCGGTTTTTTCCCACTCCGCGGAGCAACGGACGCCCCAGGCCACAGAGCCCCGAAGCCGCTCGGGCTGCTGCAGGCCGGGGCTGAGCCTGGCTCCGAGCGCAGGGCCTCCCCCTCCCCGCACGCGGCCGGCCTCCAGGCGCTTCCCGCACTCCCGGCCTCCTCGGCCCAGGGCCTGACTCGCCTCCATTATGCCGCCTCCACAGGCCTGGATAACTCCTCCGACAGTCCCCAGGTGGCCACGTTCCCAGGGGAATGGAAGGGCCCCTCGCCGTGGCCTCCGTGAGCTACCCGCTCAGGTGAGCGGCCCACGCACAGCGGGGACTTCTTTAAGAGGCTTTCCCAAAGGTAGGAGACCCCAGCGCGGTGTCAAGGGCAGATCAGATCTCTGACCCCGTGGTTCCATTTCTCTCTCCACTGTTTTCCATGTGTCTCTGAGACCTCCTCTGAGTTCTAAATCTTAAGGTGAGGGCAGGCTTTCAGGGAGGACTCTGAAATATCTGGGGAAGCAGAAAGCCAGCTAGAACACTCTCCTCGAGGGGAGCAAAGTGAAACCCCAGTGCCCGAGTCCGCAGTGAGCGATCTGCAGCCCCATTCTGCAGCTCAGAGAACGGTCTCAGGGGTCTCTCCCTCCCTCTCTCTGGTCCATCCCACTCAACTGAGCACCAAGGACCCGGGGGCTCACCACTCCTGTGGTCAAGAAAAGGAATAAAATGCAATCTTTAAGTCTTAGCCAGGTGCCACCTCTGGGGCCACAGATTGAAAGAATCTGTGTTGCACATACGGGGTAAATTATTACGCTCAAACTTCCCCCAATTCGATTTCAGCATAACATAGAGACAAAATGCCGTGTTAAAAACAACCATAACGCCCAGGTTACATTCAAGGTTGCTGCATCCAGCAAGATCACCTTCTGGAAAATCACCATCTCCTGAAGTGTTAAGTTCACAGGAGCTGCACTCTAGGCAAGGTACAGAGTGCCTTCTCACCTGCTGGGCTGGGAAACTAATTCCCAACTTGGAGCTCTGGACCCCAAAGTCACACACAGAGACCAAGGGGGGAGTTGCGTGTTTTGGCCAGTGAAACAGATAGTAAAGCCATCCCCCCTCCCCCGCGCAGCCGCACCTCACAAAGGCTGCATGGTTATTTAAAATTTTAAGGACAAGTTATCAGGATTGAAAAGAAAAATAATCTATTATTTAAAGTCCTGGAACAGTTGACACACTTAAAACTCTAAAAGCATTGTAAATTATTTTTGAAGTGCGACGAGGCTTTAAAATTTTTCACTGCAGTAGGGTAACGATTTAGAAATCAAATCCAGAGGTGAAGAGGTCAAAGATTCACCTCTGATCTGGTCACCGCCAGGGATGGTCATTAAATGGTACAGAATCAATCCCCTTTGGATCTTCGCCGTCCGGGTTCAAATTCTTTTCTGGAGAACTATTAAAGTGGGGAAGGAAGTCCGTATTTTAGGAAACTGAGGAAAAGCAGGACTCCCCCTGGTTTGTTGTCAGCTAATGGAAAATGTTTATCCTCCTCTCCCTCACCTCCTGAAGTGGGGATGGCTGGACACTGGGATGGAATGGCGCTGTTTGTTTTGACTATTGGCATGTTTTTCTGCGTTTAACAAAATGCATTACAGCAAATGTCATTACGGCTCACAGCCCTTCAGGCAGCAACGTCCAAGCAGGACTGTTTCTTGATTGCCTCAGTCAGGGTGGGATTCTGAATTAATCGAAAGCCTTTTGTGACACTGGCAGGACAACAGGGGAGTTCCCCCAGTCTTCTGTGATCATCTGTAGATGTCTACACATTTACCCACCTGTGTAATAAAAGTAATCAAAACAGGTGGATTTGTGAACACACCTGGTTTTTAAAAATTCGAGAATACAAACACACTGTCCGGACTTTGGGGAGAAAAACAACATGGGTTTATTTTAAGGCAAGTACAACAATTAAGACCACATAAGACAAACACAGGTCAAGTTAAGTTTTTAGTGTTTTTTTTTTTTTTTCTTTTAGGAATGCTGGGGGAGGAATCTACTATACAACACCATCACACTTTGTAAATAAAAAGTATCAGATACTTGACTTCTTTATCTGCCAACAACAACAAAAAATAAATTATTTTCTTGTTTTGTAAAAGACCTACAGCTGGGAAAAGAATGATATCTCATAATTGTACAGGGGGGAAACCCCGCATGGGTTTCTTGAATTTTCACTTTGGCAGTTAGAAATGGTCGGGCAAGATGGGAAATGATCCAGTGAACTCAACTTTAAATATTATATTAACGGCTCTGAAAAACAACAAAAAAATAGCCTGATTACAAATTCACACATTTGTACAGCACGGTTAGAGAAATTTAAAATTACACACAGCACATACATAATCTATAGAGACCCCCATAGACCTATGGGGGTCTCTACAGAGAGTCATTACTGGATCGCTATGGGATTTGGTCCATAAGTTATAATTTTTGAAACCCCGAGTGGAGCAGTGAGCACAGCCATCCTGGAAGGGGTGGGGGATTTTAAAATCATTATTCATTTCGTCGGGCCGCGTCCGTCCCTGTACTGGGGCCTCTTGGGATCTCAGAAACGGGGCGGCGAATTAAAGTTACCTGCAGCTTCGCAGAGGGCTGAGGCTGGCGCGCGCGCTCTGTGCTCCCGGGTCTGCGGAAAAAGCGGTGGGCAAGTTTGGGTTCTTTATGCGTCTCCGCAGCCTGAACTGTTTGAGAGGGTCGCGTCTGGGAGGCGAAGCCAGAGCGGGCCAGGGCAGAGGAGGGCCGGGGCAGGTCAGTATTTCGTGCAGTCATAGGAATATGGAGCTGCGTGGCGGTAGAGAGAAGGCGTAGATCTGTAGGGCAGCTGACAGCTCGCGTTGCTGCTCACCTGGGGTTCCCCGAGGGTCGAGTTCTCAATCCCCAGCCGGTGGGAGTTGAACATCTCCCTGACGTTAGGGAAAGTCTGCTGCTGGGCTGCGAACGTGTGGCCGGAGAGGTGGTTCAGGTCCCCGCTGTGGTTCAGATACCAGGACGCCGCCTAGGCCGCGGCGCCGGCTGGGGCTGGGGAGCCGGCGGGGCGGCGGCGCCTGCGGGTGGTGGTGGCCGTGATGCTGGTGGTGATGGCCGGCGGCGGCGAGCGCGCCCTCCTGGCCGGCGGCGAGGTTGAGGGCGCTCAGGGGCGATGTGGGGCCGCTCGGGTGGTCCGAGAGGGCCTCGTCCAGCGCGGGCGGGACGCACATGTGCGCCGGCCGCTCGGCCCCGGTGTACAGGCTCATGGCGCGCATGCTGCACTGGTAGCCCCCGGCGCCCGCAGCCTCCAGGCCCTGCGCGCGCGGCTGGCCGTAGGCAGCGGGCGGCGCGGCGGCGTAGGGCAGGGCCAGCGGCGGCACCACCAGGCCCGCGCGCCCGGCCGCGGGGCTCAGCTCGCCGCCCGGCGGCGACGTTCGCAGCGTCATGATATTCTCCACGCTGAAGCCGGGCAGCCCGTTGGGCGCGCCTGCGTGGTGCTCCGGCAGCGAGCCGTCGGGGGAGCCGGCGGGCGTAGAGGCCGCGCTGCGCGGGCTGCCCTGCAGCGCACTCTCGGGGCTCAGCGTCTCCACCTTGGTGATGACCGGCAGCGCCGGCGACGCCGCCTCGCTCTTGACCACCACCGTCTTCTCGGCCTCCTTGGGGGCGGCCGCTAGTGGGGGCGCGGCCGGGGCGCCCGTGGACGGCGCCGGCGGCGGCTGCTTGAGGCGCGCGCGCTCCTCCTGCTCCTTGGGCACGTCCTTTTTCTTGAAGCGCCGCCGGCGCCGCAGGAAGCTGCCGTTCTCGAACATGTTGTAGGAGTCCGGGTCCAGCGTCCAGTAGCTGCCCTTGCCTGGCTTCTTGTCGTCGCGCGGCACCTTGACGAAGCACTCGTTGAGCGAGAGGTTGTGGCGGATGCTGTTCTGCCAGCCCTGCTTGTTCTCCCGGTAGAAGGGGAAGCGGTCCATGATGAACTGGTAGATGCCGTTCAGGGTGATCTTCTTGTCCGGCGCGTTCTGGATGGCCATGGTGATGAGCGCGATGTAGCTGTAGGGCGGCTTCACGAGGTCCTTGGGCGCCGCGGGCTGGTGGTGGTGGTGGTAGGGCGCGTAGGAGCGGCCCATGCCCGCGCCGTACTGCTCCGGGTGCCCCGAGTAGACACCCATGGGGCTGGCCATGCCTCCGTAGCTGCCCGCCGCCCGGTAGTAATTCTGCTCGCTCAAGTAGGGCACCACTCCCAGGGCGTTGGGGTCGGACACAGAGTAGCGCGCCTGCATGCTGCGTCCGAGACGGCTAGCCACCGCCTGCGCGCACGGACCGCGAGGAAGGCCCTACGAGAGCGAGCGCGAGCGAGAGAGGGAGGAAGGGAGCCGGCGGGAGCAGCCCCGGGCGCCTAGAAGCCTCAGGGGTGAGCTGGGGGAGGCGCCGGGAAGGGGCGCCCGCCTTTGGGCCGGGAAGGGGCGCTCTCTTTCAGCGGACCGGGCGGAGCAGCATCCTGGAGGGCGCGCCCGGGCGAACGCAGCGCCGGCCCCCGCTCGCTCGCCCGCTCGCTCTCGGGACTCGGCGGGTGGCAGCCCGGGCGGGCGGCCGGGGACGGAGCGGAGACGCCGCGCGCGCGGTGGACCGAGGCTGGCCCCTCGGTCCGCGTCAGGAAGGGGAAGGCGGCTCCCCAAGCCCCCCCAGCAAATCGGCAGCCCTGAGGGTCGGAGAGCCGGGGTCCAGAGTGCTACCCTGCCGAGCCCGGAAAAAGAGGCGAAGCTCCTTTTAGGGAATGGGAAAAGTTTCAAAAGTCTTCTTGCTGAAAGCGAGTTTTTACTTTCCTCCAGCCACGCCCCCTCCGGGAACTTTGGACCAATAACCCGGCCGCTCTGGGGACTTAGCACCAATCAGGACGAGGAGCGCCGGAATCCGTCGGCTCTAAGACCCAGCCGCGCAAAACCAGACTTCTGCAGCTCAGTCTTAACTTGAAAAGATTTATTTGAAAGTTATATCTTATTAAAATTTACTTTATTATCACATTTTGGTTAATGGGCCCACGTGCCCAGAGCAAAAGCAAAAAGAAAAAAAAAAAAACCCCGACGCTCCTTCGCAGATAAAAGTCAGTTTGAGATATAAAATCGAATTGATTAATTGTAGTCCAGGATCTCCCCAAAGACCTTGTAAGTAGCAAAGAACCTGGGACTATTTTTCTTATTAATGAGTGATGAGGCAAATAATTAGATTTCCTAATTATCGGGGTCCAGGTGTAATGGCTTCCAAGTAAACGTGCTGGACTGGAATGGAGGAGCCTCCACTGTATGTGGTCATTATTTAAGCAAATTATTAATAATCAACGGGAAGTTTCCAGGTTCAGGGCAGTCAAGAATAACCTATAAAGGTTTTAGAGGCAAATTATAGAAACCGAGTGCCCCTCACCCCAACCTGAGGAGGCAGGCCGAGGCGTCTATAGGGGAAAGGCGATGTGGGGAAAGTAGCGACATCTTGACAATATAATCCTCTAAATTCGCCGTGGATTCAGTAAAGCATCCACGACATCGGGAGCCGTTTTGTGGGGTTTGGGGAAGAGAGTGAAATAATTCTGTTCATTTCCCCCTTTCCCCTCCCGCGTAGACGCTTGCAGCCCACCAACTCCAGCCTCGCAGCGTGTCTCCCTTTTCCCAGAGATAAATGCCCTTTGACAGGCTGACTCCCGCGCTCCCCGAAGATGGGAACAATGCACCAGCCACCCGGCCCCGGGAAAGCCGGGTTCCTATGCGCGCGAGGAGAAACCCGAGCCGCACCCCGCGCCCTGCACTCTGAGCCGGGCACTCCGCGCTCTGCGCTCCGCTGGGGTTTCGCGCTGGTCGCGCGTCCGTAGAGCGGGTTCCCGACCGGCGCCTCGCCGGCTGGAACCCGCAACCCTGGGCGCAGCCCTTGCTTCCAGTTCCTGGAGAAGCCCCTTGGGATTCTCCAAGTTAACTTTCTGTATTTCAGTCTTTTCTGTTTGGCTGCTGTGTGATAAGGTGACGTGGGCACTGGGGCTCCGCGAGAGGATGGGGTAAGCGATTGCGAATGGTTAAAGACACCTCCGGAGACGGTATTATTCGGGATATCGACCTGGAGCGACTCGGAGATCCTCGCCCTTCAAAGCTTTCTCCTTCTCTCTAGGAGTCCCGGAAAGTTTGTTTATTTGTGGACTGAGTATTTATTTCTTCAACACCTCGAATAACCAGGTCCCCCTCCGCTCGCTTCCCCGAAGGGGCCGGACATCTCTAAGACGGGCTAAATGCTGGTCAGAAATCTTCTGGAAGTTGTCGGTCTGGCTGGAAGACTTCGGATAAAAGTCTTTTGGATTTCGGGATTCCTTTTCCCCTCCTCACTCTCCCATCAGTTGTTTATTAGATTCCCAGGAAAAGGGTTTGAGAGAATCTACGGTCAGTCTTAGCTTTGGGGGAGGTGAGTAGAACGCATTGGGGATATTTCATTCATTTTCAATAACAGAACAAAAGAAAAACATTTATATGCATTATCTTTGAATGGTATTATCTCCTGATAAATTCAAAATCAAAGGGAAAGTACAAAATAGTTTCCTATTACCTCGAATACTCTGCTTCTGAAACATTCGCTATATTTTTTTATGGGTGCTCTGGGTTCTTTCTCTAACTTGATTTTTTGGGGGGCAACGAAGTAAAATCAACTGCCCAGTCCTCAGCTCACAGGTGAATGGTTTGAGCGTTCTCCGCAACCCTCCAACTCCCACTACAACTTTATTATTTTTTCATACCTCTAGTATTTTCACATCCATTAAAAAAACACAAAAAACCCAAAAAAACCTCTAGCAGAAAGTGTCTTTCTCCTGGAGTACGTGACCGGCAGCCCGAGTTCTCACAATTTTACTGGAAATGCAAACTATTGATCAAGAAACACTCCTCAGTCTGTAGGCTTCCTGGAGGAATATTATTTACTCTGCTTTTACGAGGTGCTTTAAGAAAAAAAGCCTTATCACAGCACAGGGCAAAAACCAAAATAGCTAAAGACCACGGAAAATAAATCCCAAAATGGCAGTTTCTGCCTGAGGTTATATTTACAAGGGTGTCCAGGTTTAAACCAATGACATCCGAAAAGAACTAGGCCAAATGGCCTAAATTATTCCCCCCCCCCCCCCGCCCAAAAAAAGCGGGATGGGAGGGGAAAAAATCCTTATAATCAAGACAGAAAAGGTGAGAGAGACATTTTCCTTTGCCCCTGGAATTAAGTTTCTTCTCCGCTCGGTAGGACTCCGGGAGAGATGTTTGTTCAGGTTATTAAAACAACACCTTCCACACACCTGGACTTTGCAAAAACCATGTTTCCGATCTTTTCTTTTTCCTGCCAAGGTATTTTGGATTGGGGGCTGCTGATTTCTTCCTTTCTTGACCTTGCTGTCAGTGAGCCGAAAGCCAAATCGGGCCCCAGAGAGCCCTGTGCATTAGTAGAATAATAAGCGACGATAAAGGCAGAAGATAGTCAAGTCACTCCCCCATCCCCGGCCCCGCGCCCCACCGCACAGAGTCCTTGCCTGGGCGCCGCGGGCTCCTGCACCTGGAGGCGGCTCGGGCGGACCTGTGGTGTTGGCGCCACCTCGAGGCTCATCAGGGAACTACTCTTGAAATAGTGGGGCGGGGTTGGGGGGAAACTCAACCATTCTGGTTACAATGGAGGTGCTGACACCTTATGGATGCACCTTAGCATTGCATGGAAGGAATAAAGTTCAAAATCTCTGAGAGAGAAAGGTAAATAAACTGTGCGCGGCGCGTCGATCAAGAAAAAACAAAACATTTTCCATAGCTTTGCGATGTGTCAAGAACATGATGTGCTGGAAAACAGAAGTGTCTTTGAAACTGCTTGGGGAGCAAGAAATCCCCTCTAGGGAGACTCGCTGAGGTTTTAAGCAAATAAAACCTGCGCCTCTTAGGTGTCTACAAGTCTGGCTATTTTCTTGCCAGAGTTGTTAACAAATTGCCCTCCTCGTGTCTTCCCAGGACAGCTGTCTTTCTGCCCGATGTGTGGCGTGAGTTTCAGGGAACTCATCAAAAATGTGTGGGCTGCGTGTGTGTGCCTGACATTGGCTTTAACAACCCTTAACTTTAACCAAAGTTAAGGGAGACTTAACAACACCTCTGCAGCCGCTTCTGCTTTTGAGGAACAACAGGTTAGACAAGTGAAAGGATTTTTGTGTCTCTCCTCACTATTTTCAATACATTTCTCTCCTGGGCTCATGAGGTTTTAGGGAAAGGGACCAGGAATGAGAGCAGTCTCAGTCTTCCAAAAGCTGCTTGGGATCTGATGAACCCTTGAGTTCATCAGAGCCAATGCTGCTTCTTAGAAATCCATTGCCATCCAGCTCCTAGAATTTTTTTCCGGGACAAAAAGTGTGTCCCTGATGAAAACTGTCCAAACCACCGTTCACAAATGGTAGCACCATAAACAACAAAATAACAGGGGTAAGGACTGTTCTTAGTTAAAAGATTAAAGAAACTGAACAACTGAATGCGATACTTAATCCTAGGTGGAGGAAAATTTTTAGAAACACTAATAGAGGAGAATACCTGGGGAAGTTTGAATATCACGTGTGTATTAGGTAATAACCTTTTATCAAGGTTAAAATTCTTGAGTGTGATAATTATATGTGGTCAAGTCAGAACATGTGTTGTTTTCAAAAGATGCATGTCAAAATATTTAGAGCTGATATTCATCATCTCTGCAACTTTTAAAAGATTCAACCAAGGGGGAGGGTGTGGACAGACAGGAGAAGGAAATAGAAAGTTATCTACAATGTACTAAACTGGGGACAGTTGCTGAACCCATGGTATGTGGGTATTCATTGTTTATTGGTCTTGCAATTTCTCTCTAAGTTTGAAATTTTTCAAAATTAAAAAAAAAGATTGGGAGAAAACCACCTTTGTTACTCTGGAAATTTAAAAAGGGATGTGACACAGAGCAAAGATCTTTCCATGGAAGGAAATTAGGGTTTCTGTACGGCAAACACTAATGTGGGGGCCTACTTTGGCCCCCAATGTCCCCTCTCCTTGTGTTCTGGAAGTTTCTGGAAAACAATCTTGAACAGCCATGGAGTTTATCACATTAACTTGTGGTTGTTTTTTTAAAAAACAACCAAAAGCTGATTGCCTAAGGAGCTTATCAATCTGTATAATTCAAGCACCACCACAATTAATACCATCAAAATTGCAAGAAATCCAACAGGGTACTGTAGATGTTTCCGAAACAGAATGTTAAAGATATACATATGTTTCTTCTTAAAGAGAGTCAATTGCATACCTCTTTCTGCTGCCTGTTTCATGCCAGTTCTGTACAGTTGCCCTTATGCATGTTGCTATGCAACTGGTTGGCTTACACAGTGTATCAGTCAGTTGAGGCTGGTGTATGCTGCAGTAACAAACAACCCAAGTCTCACTGACTTCATCTTGAGCCAACCCCAGCTGGGTGTCACTCAGGGGCCTGGGTTTTCAAAGGCTGCCTCCCCTGTCACCTTGGCAGGGGCAGGAGAGGCAGATTCTGCCCTGGGAATTAAGTGTCCAAGTGACACATGGCACTTCCATTCACAACTCATTGGCCTGAACAGATCGTGTGGCCCCAACACACCTCAGGGGCAGGAAGTTCAGTCTTCCCTGTGCCCAGGCAGATGGGTGAGCTGACTTTTGTTTAGCAGTCTCATGTCTGCCACACATGTCCTACCTCTCCAGGCAGCTGGTGACTCTGTCTTGTTTCTCTCTGCAGCCCCAGTGCCTTGCAGGGTACCTTGCGGCATAATAGTGGACAAGAAGTGTTTATTGAACGAATGTATGACTTTTCCAAGACTTTCCTCCCTAATATATAAGGGAACATATAACGCGTGCATACTGTGTGCCAAGATGTTCTGCCTGTGACATCTCATTTAATCCTCTTTTGGGGTAGGTACTGTTAGTATCACCATTTTACAGGGGAGGAACCTTAGGTTTAGAGATCTTAAGTAACCACAAATTTTCAGCTACAAGTGAGAGAATCAGGATCTCTTAGCCCATTAATTTGCTGCCTCTTTAAGATTAGGGTTAGCGTCTTGGAAATTAGAGTCAACTTAAAAGGTTAAAATACAAACTTCTATATAAATAAGAATAGTCTATATGGAAACATACATTTATGTAATTTCATAACTATATATACACAGTCAATAGCGTATGCACGAAGGCATGACTTCTGAACACATGACTCAATGTCTATGAAATTTTAGCTTCTTATACCACCAACTTGCAAGCCTGTAATTAACCCGGTAGGGTAAAAGGATTCATTATCAGAGCCTGCAAGAAGCGACTGCTCTCTGGGAGGTGCAGGCAGGGCTTTGATTTTTGGACAGGGCAGGGAGAGAAAGAGGTGAGGAGGCTATATGTTTTTCACCGAATTTGCAGACTGTGGGATGTGTGTTCTGAGCCCCAGGGAATACACCAGACTTGGAATCACCATCCTGCCTCAAAGTGACCACCGGGTCTCAAGGTGACGATAAGCAAGGGAGGCCCTAGGGGGCCTGTAAAGGACCGAATGAAGCAGAGCGACTCCCCAGGGGGAAGGGAATCTTCTAGCTTCTCGGGAGCCAGCATTTGTTATTAGATTTATTTATTTGTTTAGCACTTTAGGAGGGGTGTGTGTGTGTGTGTGTGTGTGTGTGTGTGTGTGTAGATGATGCAGGGGGAAGTCAGGAAACAGAAAATAAACTGTGGCATTTAACGTTTGTAGGGTCTCACAGGAGAGGGATCGCGGCATGGAGGAGCAATCCAGGCCGGCTTCCCGGAGTAGGGGGCCTCTGGGGAATAGAAGAGGAGGTAGCTGTGTTTGAATTGGCAGTGGGCTCCGACAGGCCAGGGGTTGTTCACTCGGTAGCTCCCCAGCGCCCGGCAAACGCGCGTCGGAGCAGGGACTCTATGCTTGGCCTGCTCAGAGAACAAACCCTCAGGCCCCACGCCCACCTCCCTTCGCAAGGCCCGCGGAGCCGCATGCGCATGCGCGCCGCGGAACGTTCCCACCAGGCCTCCGCGGCTACGCCCCCGCCCCCGCCCCCGCCCCCACCCCAGGCCAGTGCGCAGGCGCCTGGAGGGCGCGCGTAGGTGTCGTCACTTCGTGCCGGACTCCGCTGGGTGAGGTGTCGCGCAGTGACGGCGTCGCAATGGAGCCGAGGGCGGGTGAGGAACCGCCGGAGGGACCACCTGAGAGACGGGCGGGGAGGCGGAGGGGTCCCCGGGGATTGGGCAGACGGGACGTGGGGGGGGCGGGCGGGGTCTCAGAGGGGTCGGAGCCGGGTGCGGGGTCGAACCTGCGGCGGACTGGGACCCGGATACCCGACGCTGTCAGTGGAGCAGGTGGGAAGAGGAAGGGAGGCCACCTTCTGGGTACGTGGTACTGTCCGTGCGTCCCCGTGGGGTGTGTCTTCCGTATCACGTCCTCTACAGCAGGAGAAACGGAGGCTCACAGCTGCTGGCATGGGCACGACTGGAAGCCAGTTTAACCTAAACGCAGGGGTGCTTCATCACAGACCTCTTAACGGATGGTTTCCGAGGCCTAGGCTGGCCCAGGCCCTTCCCTAGGCCTTGGGGAGGCTCGCCTCAGAGCCCCTGAGCTTTGGTTATTGACTGCAGAATTGCCTGGCAAAGGTGTTACTAAGGCTGTTGGCGCCCCAGGGTCTGTTAAAGCCCGGTTCGACAACCGTGAATAAATCCCCTCCTGCCTTACTGTCTGGGTAGCATGGAAACAGCACAGTAAACAGGTGCTGATAGTTCAGTGGGATGGTGACAAAGACCTTTGGAGATGCCAGGAGTGACCTCAGGGCTAGAGAGAGAAGGAACGAGACCCAGGCTGACCTGTTGGGCAGTTACGGAACAGGGTTCATGCATTTCTCACATTAATATATGTCGCCTTTTAGTATTCTAATGATTTCCCATGTTTTGCTAACTTCCCAAGGGCAAGAACCTGCCCTTTTATTCTCTCCCTCCCCTTGCAATTAGCCCATTGCTTTCTAAATGGGAGTCACTCGGATGTTTGTGATTTATTGACTGTGGAGCAAGGTCCCCAATGCCTACATCTCTTGTGTCCCCCACAGCACTGTGCACAGTGTTGGGGATATTATTGGACGTCTGGGTTGTTAGTGAAAGTGATAAATGTAGTAGCCTTTGAATAGTTGTGTCGATGTAATGGTTTCTGTTTGAGAAAACAAGCAGTGAGTGTGCTCTGGGTTCCTCAAGGGGGGAGGGTCCTAAAGGAGGGACGTCTGTCTGTGACCGAGCACTCAGAATGCTTTCTGGGGGAGGTGGCGTCTCAGCTAGGCCTGAAGGGACAGGAAGGGGAGAACCTGGGAGGGGAGGGGAGGAGGTCCAAAGGCCTGAAAAAGACAGGGGGACACAGGCGTGTGGGGCTAGGGACCGGCATGGTTGGGCCACTTTTTGAATTCGATGTGAGGGTGACAGGAGATGAGGCTGAAGTGGCCGGCAGAGCTTTGCAACTCATTCCACACCCTGTGCCGGGGATCCTCGGGGCCCTGGAACAGCATGGAAGGGAGACTTCCTGGAGGCGGTGCCGAAGCTGGGCCCTGAAGAGTGAGGGTTTGCCTGAGGGACAGGGAGCAGAACAGACTTTCCAGCAGAGACCAGCAAATGCAGAGCTCCCAGCAGGAAAGAACAAGCCAAGTGCTGGAAACTGCCTGCATGGCCCTACCCAGGCCAACAGTAGTGTAGTCTTGGCCTTTTGGCCTGCGTCCATGGAGATGCGTGTTCCCTAAGTACACTCGAATCTGCATTCTTGATTTCTGCAGTGGTTCAGAAGCACAGCTAGGGTCAAGAGGCACCAGCAGTGTTTGCAGGAAGTCCAGGAAGCTCTGGGTTTCTGGCTGTGAAGGGCCTGGTATGGTTGCTGTTCCAAGGGAATCTATGTCTAGCCTGTGGGCATAAGCAGTGGAAACCTTTGGCTCTGGCCCTTAACACCTTAAAACTCCATGTAGAGGTTTAACAAATCGCTATAAAATGGGCAAGGGCTGTAAAGGCATACCTCAGTAACGAGATTGGAAACCACCTGTTGCCCATCAGTCTTGAGTAAAATTTGACCTGCCCCCATCGTGGAAAACTGTGCAACTGCAGAAAAGGATGAGGGTGCTTTTGTATACCATATGGACCAGTCTGCAGGACAGTCAGTAAATAGCAGCAGAGTTGAAAGCAGTATATGTAGCTACATGTGTAGCACACCCTCTTAGGGAAGGAAGATGAGGACAGGAATGCAGTGTCTCCAGGGAGAGGTCTGAGATGCCTGGGGGAGAATTCGCTAGAACAAATAGGTGCCCTGATTGCCTTGGGGGAAGGGACCTGGTACTCGGCAGACGTGAGGAGAGAGGCTCTACGTTATAGATGCCTTGGTATGTTTTAAAGCTCCATTTACAAAAGAATTAAGCTTTTACAGTGTAATTTATTCACAAGACTCAAAGCCACACAATTCCTAAATGTTTATGGCTAGAAGCCAGCTGCCAGCCACATCCCACCCCCCAGGGTGATGGCTCCCAGCTCTCTGAGCTGCTCCCTGTGTCACTTTTGAGCAGCCTCCACTCCCGCAGGGGAGACTGAGGACTTGAGAGGTTGAACCTGCCCCTCTTTCCTGCCTGGGTGATGAGAGGTGCCCCGTCACACCAAAGTGATTTGAAACAGACTTCTGTACTAGTGCAGGGATATCCCTTCAGACTAAGAAAAACAAAAATTCAGTGACCATTTTAAAATGGTTTATATGAATGTGCTGATTTTATTTTTTCCTGCTTAACTGGAAACTGCTTTTCATAGTTCTCCATTCCAGGAGGGGCACGTGGTTGATGCGGATTTTCTTAGGACTTTCCCAATCACGTCATTAAGGAATATTTGTTGCCTAAAAATCCATTACCAAAGTGAGGTCTAGAATAAAGATTCCCGCAATAAAGGGGGTTGTAGTTGGTAATCCAAAATAGTAGCTGGGTTACGAATCACTTAGGTCTAAGAGAAGCGAACAGGACTTAAGCAGGAGTGAAGTAATCATAGCTGTCTCAAGACCGATAGACTGAGAGTGAGATCACAGAGCCTTAACTGAGCAGAACTCCTGTCTCCGCGTGAGGGGTTAGGAACGCTTGGGTCCACGGCTTGGCTTGCGTTTGTCCTCCCGCCGCTACGGGTCCATAGAACTATAGCTTAATTAAACACTTGGGTTACGTTGAGTTTACACTGTGTTTGGACTATAGCAGTTATATTGAGGTGTAAAAACTTATCACTGACCCTAGCTTTTCGACGAAGGGATCAGAAGCCCTAGGTTCTGTCTGGCGGGGCAGAGCTGGGGGTGCAGCGGGAGCGGGCGGGCGCTGGGCCCTGGGACTGCTGCGCTGTGGGCTTCCTGTCTGTGGGTTTATCAGTCACACCCTTTACTGCCCTAGGTGTTTCCAAACACGACATTCGTGAGCAGATTTGGGACTACATGGAGGCACGAAATTTAGCTGATTTTCCCCGGCCTGTTCATCACAGGATTCCCAACTTCAAGGTACTGAAGCATTCGTGGAGCATTCACAATGACAGCAGGATACCCCTAAATGAGTAGCAGTGGTAATACAGTTACCTTCCTGCTTCACGGCGGATTTGAGCTCGGTGAACAGTGAGTGGTGTGAAATCTGGACCAGCTGGCCGGGGTGTTCTTGTGCCTTGAGATGTCCTTCATCGTGTTACTTAACCTTCACTCTAGAGCACCTCTTGCCTTTCTGTGCAGGGTTGGTGGGTGGGTCGCATCTTGCCATGAGGAGGTGCTAAGGCTGCTGTTCCCCGTTTGGTACAGAGTGAAATATTTCTCCTGGCTGGAAGCATTCGATCGTTGTGGTGCCTTTTCACGCAGTTGGCTCCTAAGGAGTGACGTGCTCTGAGAGGGAGCCCCAGCCAGCGAGGCTGGCTTCTCAGCCCTTTCTACCTGGCTGCTTCCTCAGACATTTCTCGGGTGACCCCAGACCTGGTCTCAGAATTGGCCCCCACGCCTGTCTGGGGGAGATGCTGGAGCATCAGGCTGAGGGTGGCCCAGGGTGGTGGCCTCTTAGTAACGTGCACTTGCATTTAAAAACAGGGTGCTTCTCGGGCCACTGAGCATTTCCCACGTTTGCAGGCGTTCAAAACGGCCAGAACCATTAAAGTCAACCCTGACGCACCCCAGAAAAATGCCTGCTTCTTCGTCCTCAACATAAGTGCACCTCTGTCTGTCTGCCTAACCAGGGCTCTTATCTGGCTTCCCAAAACATCAAAGACCTCGAGGTTTTTGCCAGAACGCAGGAAGTTAAAGTGGACCCTGATAAACCGCTGGAAGGCGTCCGGCTGCTGGCGCTGCAGGTAATCCCGTTCCCTGAGCCTGAGCCCTGGCTACTGAGCGGCCCACCTTCCCCAGGTGGCTGGCAAATGTGCACAGTCCCACATTTGGAAAGATGGTGCTTCTGACTCCCTCCAGTGCAGAATGTGTCCTTGGAGTTGTTTTTTCCAGGACAGTCCAGAACTCTTCCGTTGTCTGTCGGTCTAGAAGTCCTGAACGTCTCTGAATTCAAAGAGAAAAGACTTTGAAACCATGACTTTGAGGCATCCCAGTTCTAATGTACCTCTCCAAAAGCGAATGATTACAATGTATTTCATCTGCTACATTTGTAATACTATAATTCTTTGAAACTTGATAACCCTTGAGTAAGAGATCTGATAAATGAGTCCCCAAAATATATGAATTAGAACAGTGTTTCTTAACGTAGATATAATAGGCCCCTTTTCAAGAAGAAAAATTCCCCCAGGGTTGCTTCAATTTATTATAATTTAATAAGCATAAACATAAAACTTGATATAAATTATAAGGCTCAGGATCTTATGTGACTGTAAGACCAAAGTATACATGTAAATTACATATAAACAAAACTATAAAAGCAGTAAAATTCAGATAACATCACTCATTTAAAGTAACGGATGATGTTGTTTGGCTGAAACAAAACACCGTTTACAGTGAGTATAGTGCTGCGTGTGGCAGTGCGGGATCTGTGGGATTCTGCTGTATGCCACCAGGCCTCGGGTGGTGACTCAGTTTCCCT